TTGCAACGTGGCCTATAGGGGTCAGAGGTGCCCAGATGCTGCCCTGCGGTGACATTTGGGGGGTGGGGTGGGAGTGGCATTTCATTCCTTGCACCAAGGTCCATTCAAACAACCCTACATCACTGAGACGATCACGGCAAGAGATACGATGAAACAATGGTAGAATATCATGTTCGAGGCCTCGTAAGAAATGGGCTCACCGTGCACATGTTACACACGTGTGGAGACGGCAATCTCCACGTGCGAATCACACGTTAAGAAATTGGTCCGACCATTGAAGTTAAAATCCTAGCACAAGACACTCAAGATTGCTTGGGTGATTGTCAAAATTCTCACCCAACAATCTGAGCTGACCAGTTGTGCTCGATCAGTTTTACGACCCAATATCAATCACGCACGCACATAAGCAAAGACAAAGATCCCCCCCTATAGCCTAAACGGACTGCTTGGGGCAAGTGCTGTTCGCGAGGACCTATGAATGCCAGCATGGCACAAGGGGGCGGGGTGGCGAGCACCACGCCCGACAGCCTTTGTCTCCCCAGCGCTGATGTTGACACATTGCACCGGGTACTCGGTTAAGACTGAGTAGACCTATGGGAGGGCCGGGACCAGTTCACACATTTGCTCCTGTTATTGGCCGTGAGCGGCAATGAAGCTTGGGCTGCCCGGTTCATAGCGCAGTCTGCTAACCGCTGTGCCACTGCTCCTCATAACACAAATCTACAAATTTGCACTCACAAATGCGTCCATACACACAAAAACACGAACATGTGTACACTTTAAATGCACGCACGAGTTTATTTGCACCCTCCAGCTGCTCCAGTTTGGCCGTGTTTTTAAACAACACGCTACAATGCCAGTAAAAAATATAATAGTTTTTTTTACCCTTCTATCTGGCAACAAAACTGACACCTTTTTTACGAGGAGTCATGTTTGCATAGACCACAATACCTGCAGTCATAATGCAAACAAAAAACATAACTTTGATAATGCGCCTTTTGGCGTCATCTGGTCCACCCCATGTGAGACTCGGCTCTAAGGAAAGCTGTCTCGGGTGTGGACCAATCAACTTCAAGGACAGTGCATACATTATCAGAGTTATGTTTTTTTTTGCATTATGACTGCAGGTATTGTGGTCTATGCAAACATGACTCCTCGTAAAAAAGGTGTCAGTTTTGTTGCCAGATAGAAGGGTAAAAAAACCAATTAGGCACACAGCCGTTTGTGAATTGTGAGAAGAAAAAAAACCCCGCCCATCAGCATGTCCTGAAGAGAGCTGCTTGGCGGAGGATTCCAGTCGTCGTCGTGGTACAAAACAAAAAGCGGTCCACAGTTGTCCACTGCATCACTGCAGCTGTGGGTCGGTCGGTCACATTTGCTGACGTTTATTGTAGTGGTGGTCTAAGACAACAGGACCACAATGCACTTCCTTTGGGTTTCCAAGCTGCACCGTTCTGCCATGGGGGTTTCTCGTCATTCACAGATTTGATTCTCATGACCATGTATCTGATAGAGGTCTTACTTTGACAGGTCGCAAAAAAACTGATGCTCAACATCCTTTCGGCACATCGGCATCTTGCTCTTCACGATCATCACACGCTGTATAAATCCAAACGTCTATTGCATTGTCCAAGGCAGACCTTAAAAACCAGCGGCGTGAGATGGAGCCTGTAAAAGCATCCCTTGAAGGTCGAGTGTGACTCCAACAGCTGTTGGATACGGCAGAATGAACGAAATACCGGCAGAGCGTGGTGACATCAAGAGCATCTGACACAATGTTTTTCATTAAGATATATACGATCTATCAGTACTGTTTGTCATTTTGCCTAATTTATCACGTACTAAAGGTGTCACGACACGAGCGATACCTCCGGATTTCTCGAGCGTGCAACCCTTTCTGTTTCAGAGAACGACCCACAGAACTAGCAACTGCAGATATACCTCTGAGATACCTGCAAATGACCTCCGGTCGACACGATAGAGAAGTGTTCCTAGCATGCCAGTAAAACTGAGATTTTTCGATTCTCAGAGCTGGAATGTACAACTTTTGATGATTAAAGAAAACGTTGAATATTGTGCTTTTCTTTTATTTAGTTACCGGGCCCACACCCAGGATCTCACCGATGCGAAGCCAGGTCAGCGCTCTGACCTCTGAGCCATCTGGGCCACCTTATATTAACTTCATATATAAAAGTAAAACTCAACAAATTCGTCAATCCCAATGTGACCTTACAATAAAAACAATAGACGGCGTTTTGGGCTAATGGCACTTCTTCATAGCACATAAATATGAATTGCATCATCATCGTCATTCATTCCATCAGCCCTGATTAATTTGGGAATTGCATGACCGGATTTTGGTGTTTGCGAGAAGCTTCAAACTTAACGTCGGTGCCTGTGTATTGTAGGTGGGGCACCGTCTCCAGTTTAATACATTCCAGGAACTATTGGATTTGGCTCCGCGGTCTCTTAACTGCATGTAGCGGTACGAGATCAAACGGTGTGGTTTCTGGTAAATGTTATAGTCCAAAGAACATACTCCCCGATTTCTCAACCCCAATTATCGTTGTACTCTGGTTAAAATGTTGCGAAAAAATATATACCAAAAAAAATCTTTACGCTCATCTGGGAAATGTGCCCTGCAAACGAAAAGTTCCAATGAGTGCCTTTGCCCTGCTTTGATGCAATGATTGCAAAGAAACCATGGACTTTTTCAAATAACGTGTAACACACTGAAAGGTGCACCAACGAGGCGTGCGTGGTGAGATGCATGATTGGGTTTGCAATCAGAGGTCGACAGGGGGACCGTGTGGATTCGAGAATATATACCCGAGTTACAGGAATAACATTGACGTTAACGGGCAAGGACCCTCTTTTAAATGTGGGTCATAGTTCCAACGCAGAAATATACCAAAAACCTCACCCATCGCGGGTTTTCCTATTTTGGATTTAACCATTCTCGCCAAATGTATCGCTCACCTGTGACTCGACCATTCGCGGTTGACCGCGAGATTCATAAAAAAGTTCCCTACACTGCACTGCTCGCGACGACACTGCCACAGAAGAATACACACGCCGTCTTGTGTCTACACCCTGTCTCCCACGCGGACACAATTTCGACTCGAGAAAAGCGAACGGCGCTGGGCAGCAGGATGCGGTCGCTGGGAGGGACGATGTCTAAACTAAACCTTTGTTTACGTACCAGGTAAGGTCCATTGCGCTATGCCGCTCTCTTTCAGAAGCGACCTGGCCACAAATGATAGCTCAACCAAGTGGCTTATCGCGTGGGAATGTATAAGCAGCCAAATACTCTATCGAGACGCGTGATGTTGATTCTTAATGTGGAGGACTCGGATGAAAAATACACGCGACCACGGGGAGAGAGAGCGAGACATGCAAACTCCAAATATACAGCAGGCGTCAGGGCCGGCAACGAGCCCACGACCTCCTTTCTGTTTCCCATGTCACCAGGACATGTTTGCCATGTCACCAGGACATGTTTTCCATGTCACCAGGACATGTTTCCCATGTCACCAGTACATGTTTGCCATGTCACCAGGACATGTTTTCCATGTCACCAGGACATGTTTTCAATGTCACCAGGACATGTTTGCCATGTCACCAGGACATGTTTTCCATGTCACCAGGACATGTTTTCCATGTCACCAGGACATGTTTGCCATGTCACCAAGTTCAAGTTCAAGTTCATTTATTAGGTATAGCCCTGTGAGCCATTCAGCTCTTGAATCGGGTGCAACCGCAACAAACAAAAAACTAAAACATGAACAAAAAAACATCTTAAAGTGAATATGTGACTAAGTGCAAACAGAAAATCCAAGAAAAGACAGCAAAAATATTGCAGAAAAAACACCGTACACCAACGCTGTGTGCAAAAATCCCAGTGGGATGCAAGTCAAACAACAACAACAACCACAAGACAACTTAGATTAAGGCCATCAGTCTAACTCTGTACTACAACAACACAAACATGGCTAAACCAATACACTTTTCGAAATCACCAAAATAAAGCCATGAAGGCAATGAAAAAGCAATCATAGGAACTGACGGAATTTTCACAATAAATGGCATAAACAACATGTACTACCAAAACCCTGCAGCCATAGCTGGCTGCATGAGTCACTCCACAACAGCAGGAGCATCAATCGGAGTATTGTAATTTTTCAATGCACCTTTAAGATCAGCACACTAAATCAAAACACAGGTCATACTTTGTAGCGATCATCCGGAGCGAAACATTTTATTTTAGGTCACTGAATAGCACTGGCAGCTAGGGGTGTACAACTCCTCTAAAGCAGTTTTGAGTGAAGATCTCATAGGTAGTGACTCAAGTTTCAATTTATTTGCAACAGCATTCCAGACCCTGGGGGCATCAATAGCAAAGGCCCTTCCTCCAGTATATGTACGGCAATAGGGAATATTAAGCTGGTAAATGAGTGTAGACCTTAGGTCAAATTTGTTCTTTGAAACAGAGACGAGATCCAGCAGGTAATCTGCAGATTTTTTTGCAAGTACATCATGAATAAATAAGATCTGGTGCACAAGCCGTCGAACATTCAGAGATGTTAAGTTTGACCCAATGTAGAGATCACAGTGGTGAGTCCTATATGGGCAGTTCAATGCAAATCTTAAGGCCGAGTGATACATTGAGTCAAGCTTCTTCAGTACAGTACTTGGGGCTGATTTATACACAATGTCACAGTAATCAAGTAGAGGCAGTACGGTAGCTTTAATCAATTCCAAACGGAACATAGGAGGGAAGCAGTGCTTGTGTCGATATAGAAAACCAATTTTAATTTTTGTCTTTTTCCCAATATAATCAATGTGATCTTCAAAATTCAGTTTTGAATCCAGGATGACCCCAAGATACTTATAGATCTTGACTTGCTCTATTTGATCATTATTTAAGGTATGTAATTGGGGAAAAATAACTTCCCTGCTTTAGTCCTGGTGAGAAGCATAGCACCTTGGTTTTGGCAGGATTTAGGACTAGTTTAAGAGCAACTAGCTGATGTTGTAGTTTGTTGAAATCACTCTGGAGCTTAGCAATCACGTCATCCGGAGAGCGGCCAGCAGTAATTAGTACCGTGTCATCTGCAAAAAGATTTACCCTGGAATAATCCAGTTCAGTGCCCAAGTCATTTACATAAAGAGAGAACAAGAGGGGGCCGAGAATGGAACCCTGTGGAACCCCTTTTGTTATCTTAACACTGTTTGACCTCCAACCATCTGTGAATACAGTTTGGGTGCGAGAAAAGAGGTAATTTTTTAACCATTTTACTGTGTTTTCGGAAAAACCGAGGCAACTTATTTTACTAAGCAGGATGTTGTGGTCTACTGTATCAAAAGCTTTGGACAAGTCAAGAAAAAGACAGGCGCAGTACTGCTTATTATCAAGGCTACTGTAAATGTGATTCAGAGAGTCTAATGCAGCAGATGTGGTGCTGTATTTTTTTCGGAACCCAGATTGTTTTAGATGTAATAGATTGTTGGCGGACAGGAAACTGCTAATTTGGTAGGTCAATAATTTTTCAAAAATTTTCATCAACGGGGACAAAATTGAGATAGGTCGGTAGTTATTTGGATCATCTTTAGGGCCCCCTTTGTGAAGTGGACGAACATAGGAATGTTTCCATTCTAGAGGAACTGATGCTTCTTTGATGGACAGGTTGAAAATATGGGCTATAGGTTTGTATATTAGGTGACCAACAGTTAGTAGAGCAAAGACGGGAAAACTATCTGCTCCGGTAGAGGAGGACCCTTTGAGGTAGGACAGTTGTTTCAGAACATTACTTTCGTGGATTGGCTGAAAACTAAATTCGCTTAATGTTTGGACAGGAGTGTAGGAATTTGCATGAGCAGGGGTGACTCCCAATACATTATCAAATAGGGTACCAGCTTCAGAAAAATGAAGGTTAAAATTGTCAACTATTTTTTGGGGATCTGAAAAATATTCCCCATTTCGGTAAAGCTGAACGGGCAGATGATCTGTTTTGGATGCCTTTTCGATACATTTGATTGTTTTCCAGAAAATCCTGGCATTTCCATGAGATTCAAGGAGAGTGGAAGAGAAGTAGTTATTTTTTGCATGCCGTATTTTTTTGACGCATCTATTCCTTAAAATCCTGTATTCTAGCCAGTCATTGACCAAATTACTTTTCTGAGCACATGCCCAAGCCTTGTCCCTAGTTTTCATGAGCTTTGTAATCACAGGATCAAACCATGGTGGACGGTTGCCTTTAGTTTTAAATTTAACCAACGGAGCATGTTTGTTAAGAATTTGGAGAAACGTGTACCTGAAGGTCTCCCAAGCCGTAGTCAGGTTTGGAATATCACAGACCTTGTCAATATCCGAGTGAAGCACATCATTAGTAAATGCCTGAGTGCTGAAGTGTCTCATGGAGTGCTTCTCAACCAATTTAGGGGGGGCTTTGGGTCTGGCTGATGATCTCACCCCAAAAATGAAGGAGTGATCACTAAGGTTATTACCTAGAACACCAGTCAGTGCGAAATTGTGAGGGGCATTTGTCAATAGGACGTCAAGCAGAGATGACTGTCCCGGATTTTTTAGGTTGGGTCTTGTGGGGACATTTATTAATTGAAACAGGTTAAATTCATCTGCAAAATTTGTGGCCACGGCCGGCGGGTTTAGCCAATTCCAATTTAGATCACCCACTAAAACTATTTCACCTTTAGGGAGGCCCCCAAGAAGCTCTCTCAGTGCAGATGCAGCTTCAACATCCTTCCCACTAGGCGGTCTATAGCAGCACACTACCAATATGTGTTGATTATTAGGGAGAGTTATTCTGAGAGCCAGACCTTCAAAGCAACATTTTTTAAACAAGGAGTGAGCTGGTGAACATGCAATAGTATTACGAACATAGATGGCAATTCCACCTCCTTTAGATCCTCGGTCAAGCCGGAAAAGATTGTAGTTGTCAATCGTAATCTGCAAGTCATTGACGGCAGGAGTGAGAAATGTTTCTGTTAGGCAAAATATGTCCGGGTCAAGATTTGCTACTTCTAGTTTTAGTTGACTTAATTTAATCAAAAGCCCTCTGATGTTGACATGTAGAACACCAACACCTTTTCTGCCAGAAAAATCTACAGAATTATATGAGTTGTTTACATTTGGTCCAGGATGAAGCTCAATACCACCCAGAAATAAGAAAAGTAGAATTAATAGTTTGCACAGGTATTTTCTGTGAAAGGATGAAGAGCGACGAACCTTGGACGAATAGCAGCAGCTCGCAGATGGTGTTATTTTTAAGAGCAGAATGAAGTTTGGAAGGAGTGCTGGTGAAGTAATGGGACAAAGATAGGGTTTAAAAGGATATAATGATGGAGTGTAGAAGTGTCTATAAGTTGTTTCATTAGCAGGTGTAGTTGCAAATTTAGCAATAAGTATTGACGCGAAGTAACGCGGGTAGCCATTTGTAGAGTTGAGTGTGGCACTAGATATGGCCGGGAGGGACAGTAGTAAGATACACAGCAGGTGAATTGACATCTTTAAAACACTAAATTTAAACACACACACAGCTCACTCACACGCAGCTCACCCTCACCCACTCTCACGCACAGCCCACACCCATGCAGCACAACGCACACGTGGCCGCACACGCCGCCGCCATCTTGCTGCTGTTGTTGTTGCAGCTGCTGTTGTTGTTGCAGCTGCTGTTGTTGCTGCAGCTGCTGCTGCTGTTGTTGTTGCAGCTGCTGCTGTTGCTGCTGCAGCTGCTGCAGCTGCTGCTGTTGTTGCTGCAGCTGCTGTTGTTGCTGCAGCTGCTGCTGTTGTTGCTGCAGCTGCTGCTGTTGTTGCTGCTGCTGTTGCTGCAGCTGCTGCTGTTGTTGCTGCAGCTGCTGCTGTTGTTGCTGCAGCTGCTGTTGTTGTTGCTGCAGCTGCTGCTGTTGTTGCTGCAGCTGCTGTTGTTGCTGCAGCTGCTGCTGTTGTTGCTGCAGCTGCTGCTGTTGCTGCTGTTGTTGCTGCAGCTGCTGCTGTTGTTGCTGCAGCTGCTGCTGTTGCTGCAGCTGCTGCTGCTGCAGCTGCTGCTGCTGCTGCAGCTGCTGCAGCTGCTGCTGCTGTTGCTGCAGCTGCTGCTGTTGTTGCTGCAGCTGCTGCTGTTGCTGCAGCTGCTGTTGTTGCTGCAGCTGCTGCTGTTGTTGCTGCAGCTGCTGCTGCTGCAGCTGCTGCTGTTGTTACTGCTGCCGCTGCTGTTGTTGCTGCAGCTGCTGTTGTTGCTGCAGCTGCTGCTGTTGCTGCAGCTGCTGCTGTTGCTGCAGCTGCTGCTGCTGTTGCTGCTGCTGTTGTTGCTGCAGCTGCTGTTGTTTCTGCAGTTGCTGCTGTTGTTGCTGCTGCAGCTGCTGCTGTTGTTGCTGCAGCTGCTGCTGTTGTTGCTGCAGCTGCTGTTGTTGCTGCAGCTGCTGCTGCTGTTGTTGCAGCTGCTGTTGTTGTTGTTGTAGCTGCTGCTGTTGTTGCTGCTGCAGCAGCTGCTGTTGTTGCTGCAGCTGCTGCTGCTGTTGTTGCAGCTGCTGTTGTTGCTGCAGATGCTGCTGCTGTTGCTGCTGCAGCTGCTGTTGCTGCTGCAGCTGCTGCTGCTGCAGCTGCTGCTGCAGCTGCTGTTGCTGCTGCTGCTGCAGCTGCTGCTGCTGTTGCTGCTGCAGCTGCTGCAGCTGCTGCTGTTGCTGCTGCAGCTGCTGCTGTTGCTGCAGCTGCTGTTGTTGTTGCTGTAGCTGCTGTTGTTGTTGTTGTAGCTGCTGTTGTTGTAGCTGCTGTAGCAGCTGCAGCCGACCCAACTGCAGTTGCAGGAGTCATACACGAAGCAGCCGCAGCTGTGTGTACTACAGCAGAGCAGCAGCGGCCGTGCGGCCTGGAGGCGCCGAGGCTGAATAGTTGCGTGATGTGGACGTGGAGAGACGAGATGTTTGGCCCATCAGCTTCATTGTTCTGCTTCCATTTACGAGCGCCCTCCACGTAGGCCTCGACGTAGGCCCCCACGTGGGCCCCCACGTGGGCCCCGACGTAGGCCTCGAAGTAGGCCCCGACGTAGGCCCCGACGTAGGCCTCTATGTAGGCCCCCGTGGGCCCCGACGTAGGCCTCGACGTAGGCCTCTATGTAGGCCTCCACGTAGGCCTCGACGTAGGCCCCGACGTAGGCCTCGAAGTAGGCCTCGATGTAAGCCTCTATGTAGGCCTCGACGTAGGCCTCGACGTAGGCCTCTATGTAGGCCTCCACGTAGGCCTCGACGTAGGCCCCGACGTAGGCCTCGAAGTAGGCCTCGATGTGTGATAGTGTAGTGATGTACACTCGTGTGTGAAAAACTAACGTTGTAATTAGTTAGTGGAGGCGTTATACGATAGATCACAGTGTATTAAAAAAGTGTAACTGACGAATTGTTTTGGGTTAATTAAAAAAAAATGCAATGATTCGATCTCAAATCGAATAGTTTTTTTAACAATGGTGGATAAGATACACACTTACATATATAACAGTAATAATTACATCGTAACTACATATATAACAGTCAATATGCAATTAAAAGTTAAACATTCTGGCATCATTTATATACACTTATAATAATGCAAGAGGATATGGCCATTGTACGTTTACATATATTTACACTCTGTACATGATTTTCCGGATCGAAAGCCGTTGAGTGTTAAGGCTACACGGGGGATCTTTGTCTTTCTTATTTTTGACAATAACAAAGCCGCAACGTCCGAACTTAATTATGTTAAACGGGTCACATTCTGCCACATCATTATCAAAATTTATTAATTTAATTAATTTATGCGTTCGAGTTATTTAATAATTTTTGTTTGCCATGTCACCAGGACGTGGTAAACAGGAAGGAGGTCGTTCGCCATCTCCTGACGATCGAGACTGACGAGGGAGGGAATTTTGACTTTAAACTTTCGTGACTGCAGGAATTCATATTCTTTCGTTCTTTCGGTAAAGTTACGTAGATAGAAAAATAATAATAAAAATTAAATAAAAATAGTAAAAACAAAAAAAACACTAATGTAGACTGTAGCCTGGTTCTTAATCGGAGTGAGTGTACTGGCAATATATAATGTGGACTGTAGCCTGGTTATTAAGTTTGGTGAGTGTACTGGAAGTCTACAATGTAGACCGTAGCAATAGTTACTAAACTGAGTGAGCGTACTGGCAGTCTATAATGCAGACTGTAGCCTGGTTCTTTCATTAATCAAAAGTAAAATAAAAATAAGAATAAAAATACAAATAAAAACCACGTTTCGATCGCAACACAAGCGATCGTCATCAGGAAAAGGGGGGTTCGCCTCTAAAGGCAAACTGTTTATAAAGGTTTAGAGATGGGCGTAGCCCAAGTGTGTCAGCAGCATGGGCGGGGCAGCTGATGTTAATGTTGGAAAAAACCCAGACACCGGCAGTAGGTCTACCCCAATCAAAGCATTGCACCTCACTCCACACACCCACACTGCTGACGGTGGAGGTTGACAAGAAAACACAAATTAAGCCGTGACCCAAAGTGGTTGATGACATCTTTCCAATGATTACTGAGCTTATAACCATCCTCTCGGTTGAAATTGTATCTGTGTCTGTATATATGGATGGCTTCATGGGCGAATATTTGTAGATAGCCAGTGTAGAATGGCAGCCAAAACGAGGATGGACCCAACCATAGAGCCGCGAGGACGTCCATCGTGGAGATGGAGCGGTGATATCGGCGCTCAGTCAGGTCCTAAATGGAACGTTTCATCTGCCAAACCGTGGTCGATGGCGACGGCCAGCAGTAGACAGAGCCTGGCTTATAACGACGACGAATGGGAGCAAGCTAAAAGCGTACAAATAAGCCGGCATCGCTATTGGTGAGCTGCGCGCCGAGATTGAAATGCGATTGGTCAATCGAGAACTTTGTCGCGTTGGAGGAAATGCGAGCTGCGTCTTCAGATGGACAAAGACAAAATAAACATATTCTTAGGTTTTTTTTACCTACGTGACTTTACCGAAAAAACCTAAGAATATGAATCATTGCAGTCACGAAAACTTCAAATCTAGAACAAAATAAACAATCATCCCCCCGTATCGCCTGAACAGAATGTTGGAACGAGTGCTGTGAGCGAGCATCTATCAAGGCCGGAATGGGTGGCCAGCACCTCGCCCGACCGCCTTTGTCTCCCCAGTGGCGGTGTTTACGCACTCCTCATTTGAGGCTGAGTCGACCTAGGGGAGAGGGGGGCTTCACCGAGGTTTGTTGATGGCCGTGAGCGAGAATGGAACTCGGGTGCAGTGCAGCGCGGCACTAACCCGCGACACGCGATAACTTGATCGAATCATCCTCACCAGCCCCCCCCCCCACCCTTTTTACCGGGTGCAATTGCGAACAACATCCATGTCAGACATCTGAACATCTAATCGACACAATCATTGATTCACCGCAGGTCGAATGCTCACGCCAACAACTTCGCGTGGGATGTTGTGAAGTTAGCAGATGTCCACGTGCTCGGAATTTGAAGGCCTTGAAGACCGAAATCGGTGATCTCGCCGAAAGTGTGCTCAATATATCCGGACAGCAGAGTTAAGGGGGGGGGGGGGGTTTCTCTGTTCATCACCATTCATCATCGTCACGCGGGCATTCCTCGAGATTTGTTTTAGGTCTCCACTCACGCCGCCCGCCAGGGACGCGATAACGCTGCTGCGACGATGCGATGCGATATATCCCTTCCCACGTAATGGCTTTCCTCTTTCCGGCTGTTAAAGCCGAGGGGCCACAGCTGTCTCGCTGCCGAGACGAATTCCTATCCTCGCCGCCGTCAGCAAACCCCATCCGCGTTCGCCCCTTCGACGGCTGCACTCGAGCGGGGCTAATCGTGTGGTGAACGCGCGTCGCGAGATGAACGAGGGTGACGTGGGTGGTTCGTTTACCGGCGATACACCGCTGGGTTAGTGATGCTCGTCCCGTCTCCGTGTGCGCGCGTGTGTGCACGTAGTAGGGGGGTGCGCTCTTATGTCGACTGGACGGGGAGCGGTGGTGTAGTGGTTAGCGCGCGCCGCGCAACGAACCCGGCGACACAGCCTCAAATGAATACTCGGTGCGGTTGTGTAAACATCGCCCACACTGGGGAGACAAAGGCGGCCGGGCGTCGTGTTGCCGTGCCGGCCTTCATAGGTGCTACTCGCTAACAGCACTTGCCCCGACAGTCTGTGAAGGCTACACGGGGGATCTTTGTCTTTATTTGCCTCGCTGGTTACGTCAGCCCGAGGGGACCCCCCCCCCCACCCCCCCTTCATGTCACGTGTGAATTACGCGCGCGCACGATTTGCGGTGCGCGCGCTGATCGCGGCATCGATTTCAAAGTCGATGGTTCGATTGCTCCGGTCAGCAGAGGGCGACGTGAGCGCGTGGGCGGTTGTGAGTTGATGAGTGAAGGAGTTCACGAGCGAGAATAATAATTAGAAACCCACACAGCATTCCGTCAGCAGCACTGTGTGTGTGTGTGGCCTTGAAAGGAGAAAAACGAACGCGTATAATAGGTGACGTTTTGGTCAGTGGACCATCTGCATAGCGCGATGTTAACGGACCATTTAATTGAGGGATCACTTTAGTGGTTTTTCACCTGGCGAGTGCGAGACGTGGGCAGATATTTCGTTTTTTAGAAGGTAAATCATCGAAACGCGCATTAAGCACGTACAACATAAGTGCAGCTACTTTGTTGTCATCAAACCTCGGTAATTATGAACATTATTAATCGTTGACCGATTAAGAACGGAAGGGGGGTACAGGGCGGCATTAACGGTGATGAACCACTGGACTACGACTGGGTGATGTCGTTATCTTTGGTGTGGTCTGGGACTCTGTTGTTCTTGCTGCCTTGTCCAACCTTCATCAATTGGATTTATACAATAAAATAAAATTGTGTTTATTTAATATGTAGCGACTTTCTTAACGTTTCCTTTGTTTTGCATTCCCATCGGCTGTTGCTGTTGTTGTTGTGATGTTTGCAGGTGTAACTCGCTGTCCCGCCCATACTGGACATCTGTCTCATAGCTTATCGGATTCCTCCTGCAGGTTAAGGGGTCAGACATTTGTGATGATGTGTGATGAGGGGGGGGGGGGGGTGAGAAATGTGACGTCACATCAAAATGCGCAACTTTAAATAAATATAGACAACACGTACTACTTAATTAAATATACTTTTGAATCAATGTTTTCTCCTGCAACATCAGAGTGCAGCGCCACGTAAAATACGCACTACAATGACAATAGTTTAAAGCGATTTGAAACATGTGCATCGTCTGACAACGCAATAGCATCACCAGATATTTGAGTAAAAAATATATATATATAATCATGAGCGTTTCTGTGGAGAATATAAGTAGCAAAATAGATGCACCTCAAATTATGGTCGCCGCGATATGGCGATCCTACGGTATACGGTAGACGATAATCATATCGACGGTTTTGTTAAAGAATATATATCGTTACGTCGTTCCTCAGTGTCTCAAAAATTACTTCCTGAAAAGGCTTCACTGACGGACAGAAAGAGGAACGCGTGGATTAGAGGATATCGGCTCGTTAGAAACGTCAAATTTTATATATTTTGTTATTTTTACTGGAAGGAAAACTTAGAGTGGGTAATTGGCGACGATACGTCACGGTGAGCAGGGGATGATGCCCATCCCCCTGTAGTCGAGGCTAACTACGGAGTGGGAGCCAAATAAAGGGCACGCGTCCGTCCAGGACGTCCCCTACGCGGAGATGGAGCGACGAAATCGGCGCCTGTGCCGCTGCCGAGCGGATTTCCGCATCGCGGAACCCGTTGAAGGGGGACGACCTTAATCCAGCAGTGGATTGACATACCAATTTAAAGTTTCGAGTACGCCAAAAAATTTGACATTGCACGCAGAATGCGATGACCCCCGATGCATGTTGAAGTGAGACAATCCTATTGCGTGTTGTGGCGTCTGTACGTTCTTCTCGCACCCGTCAGCCTTGTGGGTTCTCTCGCGGCGTGCCTCTGATCCGCGTGAGCAAAGTAGCCGGCGAACCGAGTTTTGGCGAATATTTGAACCGGTCACGGGCCTCATCCAACGTCGACATGAGCCGCCTTGTCTGCACAGCGGTGCGATTTCTAACGGCGTTTAAATCTCCCATATTTTTAATTCGGTCGCATCAGTTAAACAAGTCCATCGTGCCAACATTGCACTTTGGTTATGTCGGTGAAGTTACGTAGATAGAAAATTCATAAATCACGACGTTTCGATCGCAACACAAGCAACCGTCATCGGGTGAAACAAACACAGCCGGAGAACCAATGAGTATGGATTCCTGCAGTTACGAAAGCTTCAAATCAAGATGAAAAGACCCATTGTTATTATTGCCAGAGTTTGCAATCGTCGTCATTCTAATTGTTAATACCGTGGTCATCCCGAGGCGATACCAGTGGCGCGTTATATCAACCGGCATTTGACTGACGTGGTGAAGTATGGTCAAACGAACTCCACGACCAGCGCGGGGTATCGAAGAGGACCTTCATCCAGCCAGCAGTGGATTGACAAAGCTGCCGCTGCTGCTGCTGCTCCACTGCTTCACACCCTCTCCGGCTGCGACATCCTATCTCGGGTCTCAATTGCGTGAGAGCGATAAGCCACACACAGCCACGCAATCATCACTCGCCACCTCTCTCTCTCTCTCCCCCGTGTGTGTGCGGATGTTGTCACATTTAATGGGTTTATCATTCAGTTTACCCTTTGTTAAAAGGCTTCCAAAACCACTCACTCGAGTGCTACCTGTCGCTGGGCCTCCCCCACGTGTGTGTGTGCGCGTGCGTCCGCACACACGCGCGTGCTTGCACGTCCGTGTGTAAAAGTATGTAGGTGTGGGAGTCGTCGTATGTGGGTTGTATACGTGTGTGTGTGTCAGTTTTGTTGTTGTTGTGGGGAGCGGAAGCGTAGCAGTTCGCGCGCTGCGCTACAAAAACCAGCCACCCGAGTTCGATTCCCGCTCACGGCCACCAACACCGGTGACGATGATCTGATCCGGTCCTGAGCCTCCCCCCTAGGTCGACGCAGCCACAAATGAGTACCGGGTGCACTGTGAAATCATCGTCACGAGGGAGATAGATGAAGGGGGGCCGGATGTGATGCTGCCCATCCCCTCCTCCTCGTGTGCCAAGGCGGCCTTCGGAGGCATTCGCTAACAGCACCTAGCCCCGCCGGGCAGTGACCGACTCGACGGGAGATCTTTGACTTTGAATGTTGGCCGTGACTAACGTGAACCATGGCGCTTCTGCCGGTGCGGTGTGTACCCATCAGCACTTGGGGGTGGGGGGAGACAAAGACGCGGTGCCGGCCTTCATAGGTCCTCGCTAACAGCACCTTGCCCCAACAGTCGCGCTATGTCGAACTTCTTTCGCACCGTACGTAGCCAACCGTGCTACGCGGAGGTGCCTACAGGGGCATTTCCTGTCGTCGTAAAGCGCAGTGCTGGATGCACCGCGCACGATCCCGGCGTGCCGAGTTCGAATCGCGCCCACGGCTCACGTCAGTGGCGACCGGAGGCCGGACGACCAAACCGCCGTGCGCCTGCCTTAATGGGTGCTCGCTAACAGTCTCTATGCGTCTTTGAGCGAGAGTGTTTTGCCGTCGCAGTAGTTCCACAACTCCCGGACGATACGTGTGGGCCCCCCTCCCCCCTCCCCCCTCCCCCAGTTGTGTAGATTTTGCAGCAGTGAACATTGGTGACTTGCGCCGTGCTGATGAGTCCTAATGAGGACGAAACCGGTTCCACCGCGGTTGTCTATTCTCTGCATCGCTGCTGCTGCTGCTGCTGCTACCGTTAGTCGGTCGTATTTGCTCAAATGATGCATTTATTCAGGAACTGCTGATGGCTTTTTGTGTCATAATGCAACACGGGCCGAGCGGTATTTAGGCGCGTGCGTGTGGTGCGTTACATTTACATAACTGCAGTTGTTACGTAACTATCGAACGCCACACACCCAGGAGGCATGTGTAACTAAGTTCCACTAAGTTCCACGTGCCCTTAAATGAAGACGAGACATTATAGACTGCCAATACACTCACTCCAATTAAGAACCAGGCTACAGTCTACATTAGTGTTTATTATCATTTTATTTGTATTATTTTTATTCACTTTATTTTTATTACTATTATTCTATCTACGTGACTTTACCGAAAGAACCAAAGAATATGTAGACAAGAGCGTTCAAAGTGACTGTTAGTGGGGGCGCCTAGTGACGTCACAGCCGTGACTGCCTCGCTGCACCAAGTCTACAGCACTCGGCAAGGCCTTGGTGGTCACCCAACCACACATCCACCCACCAACCCACACATCCATCCACCCACAAATCCACGCACCCATCCACGCACCTACCCACACATCCACCCACCCATCGACGCACCCATCCACCCACCCACCCATCCACGCACCCACCCACACATCCATCCACCCACCCACACATCCACCCATCCACCCACCCATCCACGCACCCACCCACACATCCACCCATCCACGCACCCACCCACCCATCCAGGCACCCACCCACCCACCCACACATCCACCCACCCATCCACCCACCCACCCACGCACCCACCCACCCACACATCCACCCACCCACCCATCCACGCACCCAGCCACACATCCACCCATCCACACATCCACCTACCCACCCATCCACGCACCCACCCATACACACATCCACCCAAAGTGTCTGAAATGTGCTTTGTAATCTGTGGGACTGCCCATACACACATAAACTATAGTGGGCACGAACAGAGGGAAGACACATTGCTTGTCACTTATTTTCGTGAAAGTTTTTATTTGCACAATTCAGGATATAATCCCTCGAGTTTAGTCTGAGAAAGTAAAAATGTATTAATGTCCCTACGAGACGGGTAACGACGTTTCGGCTACTTGGTCTTTCTCATGAAGATATACGCACAAGCGCAATACGTATCCTGGATGTATTGCGTATCGTGGAACGGTGGCTGCTCACGGCCAATGGCGCAGTGATTAACACACTATAAACAATTCTAGATTTGAAGCTTTCGTGACTGCAAGGATTCATACTCTTAGATTTTTTCGGTAAAGTCACGTAGGTAAAAAATAAAATTAAAATTAATAAAAGTAATAATAGAAATAAAATAAAATTAAAAATCACGACGTTTCGGAGGCAACACAAGCTTCCGTCTTCAGGTGGAACCGTCACAGCACGATTGCTGTATCAAGTTAAGAGGAATCTCGTGCGTATTTAATATGGCGCTGCACTCTGATGTTGTAGGAGAAAACATTCATTAAAAGTCTATTTAATTAAGTAGAATGTGTTGTCTATATTTATTTAAAGTTGCGCATTTTGATGTGACGTCACATTTCTCAAACACATCGTCACAAATGTCTGACCCCCCCCCCTCCCCCGGTGCGTGACGTCATTTATGGACGGTCCCCTAGGGACGCTTAGGATGCTGCTTCGCGCGTGCCTGGCGCCGGCGCTCCCGTTATCATCACGCAGTGGTCCTGAACCGTTTTACTGCAGCATTGCACCCCCCGTTTTGGTTGTCAGTCGTAAAAATCAAAACATGCATCTTGTTCATAAATACATAGGGTTTGGTGAAACGAAGTCGTTGTGCTTACGCGACCGTGCTAAATTTGTGTTTCGATTATTTGCCCTCGAACAAAAAATGTGGCCACGTCTCGCACCTCCCGGAAAGGGCATCTCGCGCCCCCCGGGTCTTCGTGCACCCCAGGGTTAAGAGGAAGACGAAGAACCACTGCACTAATGGAACGCTTCCGACGATACAGACGCGCGTTAGAGAGCGTTAGACAATTAGCGCGTACGCATTACTCTTCTTCCGTCCTTCCTGTGACGCATTGTTATCATTATGGATACAACTGTTATACTCCCCACTGGAATGTGGGGATACATTTTTTTCCATGGATGTACTGTACTCGCCATGGTAACGTGGGATTTCCATTTCGGCACAACGACGCGCGCGCGCGCGCCCCATTGCTCGTCCGAGCAGGAAGACGCGGCGTTTCCTGACGTGGTGGTGGCGGCACTTCGTAATGAGCACACCTCTCTCTCTCTCTCCATGCCACCACGACCACCACCAACAGGAAAGGGGGGTGGATGGGTGAGGTGTGTGTTGGGAGGTTGGCGGAGGGCGGGCGCGCCGTGGGTGCTGGGATGGGGGGTGGAGACGCGCGTGACGCATCCTCACAACACACGCGCAAGCCGCCCCCTTCCCCACCCCACCTAAATACAACCATCGCCGCTCACTCACAGAGACGTGGACTCGCACACGCAACCGGCACGAGCTCACACACACACGCGGTGACACGAGCTCCCACGCGCCGTGGCACGAGCTCACGCACACAGTGACAGGAGCTCAGACAGAGCGACACGGACTCATGCACAATGACACGAGCTCACACGCAGCGGCACGGGCTCACGCACACAGTAGTGGCACGGGCTCACACGCACAGTAGTGGACACGGCCTCACGCACACACATACGCAGTCACACAAAGTAGACGCACGGTAGACAGACAGTCGTACACCAGCACACACACACGCGCACGCGGACACAAGTACGGGCACGCGCAGACTGACACATTCACAGACAACAGCAACAACCGCCATTCGCGACTAAGTGGCGGTGAAGTCACCACGACGCTTGTGCCAGGCTATGTGCACGTTGAGGCCACGTGAAGTGTCGAACGCCCGCCGGCAGGAGGTCACGGGGCAGACCCAGCAGGTGCCACGGGTCGACTGACAGACACACACGCAGTCACCCTTACACGCGCACAGACGCACGCACACGCGCAGGTGGACGCAGTCACTCGCGCACCCGACACCGAGTCCGGGCGACTCGGTCAACTTCGACGAGGAGCGAGGCGGTGGCTCGTTGATTCAAAGCCGCTCAAGCGGCTCCTGCCTCGGCCGCCGCTACCGCCGCCACGAAGTCCTCTCTCCCCGAGGTGCCCACGTGCCCCGAGACCGCGGGGGTGGCGACGATGCCGAGGCGAGCGCGCAAGGGAGCTCGACTCTGCGAGGAACCGGGGGCGCGGTGATCGAGGCCGGGGGGGGCGGCGGGGGTTGGTCCCGGTTGCCTGGACCCCTCGATCAGGGTCCGGCTGGGGTCCGGCTGGGGTCTCTCGGTGGGTAAAGGGAGTTGAACCCTGGTGAGGAGGGGTCAAGACGCGGACCCCCGTGGCTGGCAGCGGCGGAGGTGGTCACGGACAGGGGGGGGCGGAGGGGTGCCCTGGGAGGCGTCGGAGGCCGGGCGGCGAGGGGAGCGACTCAGGCATGTCTCTGTCGGTGAGTACACGCGCGCGCACACACGTGCACACGCACACACGTGCACACGGGTACACGTGCACACGCACACACGTGCACACGGATACACGTACGTGTATACGTGGGTGCGAGAACGCGTGTGTGTACAGACACGGGGACGCGTGTGTGGACACACGTACAGCGGTGTGTCCATGAACAAAACATGCAGCGACGTTGTCGCCATAACAGAATGTTGGGGGCAAGTGATGTTAGCGAGCGCCTATTCAGGCCGCAATGGCGCACATGGTGGTGGTGATTTAAGAACTCGCGGCCGGCCGCCTTTGTCTTCCGCTTACCCATGTCGACACACACACACAAACACCGCACCGGGTACTTGATTAAGGCCGAGTTAATGGATGGTTCAGACCAAGTTCTGACTCCATCCGCCACTGCTGTGAGCCGAGGTCGGGAATGAATCTCGAGTTCAGTGCGCGAACTCACAGGTCGGGAGGAACACGCACACGCGACAACACGCGCTAGGCTACGAGACACGTCAAGGAACGAAGGCAAAGACAAAGATCCTCCGTATAGCCTTGACAGACTGTAGGAGCAAGTGCTGTTAGCGAGCACCTATGAAGGCCGGAACGGTACACGAGGGGGTGGGTGGCCAGCACCACGCCCGGACGCCTTTGTCTCCCCAGTGGCGATGTTTACACACCGCACCAGGTACTCATTTGAGAGCTCAGTCGACCTAGGGGAGGCCCAGGACCGGTTCAGATAATCGTCACCGGTGTTGGCCGTGAGCGGGAATCGAACCTGGGTCGCCGGGTTCGTAGCGCAGCGCGCTAACCGCTACACCACCGCTCCCCAGGAACGAAGGCACACACACAAAGGCAAAGGTCCCCCGTATAGCCTCACGAGACTGTTGCGGCAAGTGCTGTTTGCGAGCACCTATGAAGGTCAGTACGGCACAGGAGGGGGGTATGTGGTAAGCACCACGCCGGGCCGCCTTTGTCTCCCCAATGATGTTTACACACCGCCCCATGTACTATTTTTGTTACGGCTGAGTCGACCTAGGGGTAGACCCATGACCGATTCAGACATTCGTCACCTATGTTGGTCGTGATTGGGAATCGAACGTGTAAACACAAAGACAACGATCCCCCGTATAGCATTTAACATACTCTTGGGGAAAGTGCTGTTAACGAGCACACGCACAGATGCACAACGGATGAACGCTCACAAAGGCATACGCACATACGATAAGCACGGTTGGTTACGTACGGTGCGAAAGAAGTTCAACATACGTACATAGTGCGCGCATGGATAAACGCACGCACACACGCACACGTGAACACTTGCACGCAACATGCACGCATAGGCAAGGAAAAACACACACATGCACGCCCAGATTATTTTGTGATAACTTGCGTTGGCAGTAATGTACAAGCACAAATAACAACAAACTCAATACACTCGTCAATAACACTGCCTTTAAAAAAGAAAAAGAGTATATAATGGGCGACGTTTCGGGCAATGACACTTCTCCAAAGCACCCAGAGAGGCCAGACAAGATTGGAGGCCAGACTCTGACTGGCCTTCAACTGACCTCCACTCTACGTATGTATGATGTTGAACTTCTTTCGCACCGTACGTAGCCAACCGCGTTAATCGGAGGTGCAGGTTGTCGCCTTGATGGCGAAACCTAACTTGAGTTATATTCTTGGTTCTTTCGGTAAAGTCACGTAGAAGGTAAACAAACAAATAATAAAAAATATATTAATATAAAACGATCAAATCTGTTCTTGTCTGCCACTGTTCTTGTCTGCGACATCCTGTTCTTGTCTGCCACTTGAAATGCATCTAGTTTAAAGCTTTCGTGACTGCAGGGATTCATGTTCTTGGTTCTTTCGGTAAAGTCACGTAGAAGGTAAATAATAAAATAACAAAAAGAAAACAATAACATTCTCACGACGTTTCGATTGCAACACAAGCAATCATCATCAGGTGTGAAAACCACAGCAAGAACATTTTCTTGCTGTGGTAAGGCCCACTGAACTGCTATACAGCTCTTTTTCAGCAGCTACCTGGCCACAAATGACAGCTCAACGAAGTGGCTTATCACGTGTACATTTGTAGCAGCCAAATACTCTATCTAAACGCGTGTCCATTAACGATGTGGAGTGGAAAAAAATCTGGAGGACCCGGCGATAAAATCCACGAGACCACGTGGAGGACGCGCAAACTCTTAAATACACAGCAGGTGTCAGGGTCGGAATCGAACCGACGACCCGCCTGCTTTGTGGTAGCTGATGCCTTGTGTTCGTGTCGCAGTTTCAATGTCGCGAAATTCCTTTGATGTTATTTACACCGTTATCGTTGCACGCGCATCGTCAAGCGAACTCAGACATCATCCTGACTCTGCTGGGTGAGACACCGTGTGACGAAACCGATGGCCGAGTTTGCCTCTGCCGAAGCAAAATGCTGCTGAAATGTGTGCACTCCCAGAAGGCCTTGGGGCCGATGGGTTGTCATACTAGATGAGAAAAAGGTTTTGCTGGCTGACTGGACGTTGGACGCTTGACGGACACGTTCAAATGACGGTGCGGGCTGCTTGTGTAAAAAAAAAAAAAAATCATTATTATTTATATTCGGCTAGACAGGCAGATGCATGAAGCAGACACAATTGCCTGCTTCGCTGTACGATGCTTAAAACAGATCACAGGGTTCTGGTGTTTGGAATGGCATCACTGCGTGAGACCGATGCGACGATTTCACAAGTTCAGTGTCTCCAAACTGGAGCTTAAAATATTCACTTCTCATGATTGTTGGGTAAAAAAAGAAGAAACAACGTACGATTAAATCATTAATTGATTCGTAATTCCATTGCTGGACGAAGGCCTCTGCACGGCCCGACCATACTTCATCACGCTGGTCATTTGCGGGTCGGTCAAAAACAAAAAAAAATAGTGCACAGAACCTTGTCCGCTGATGTCAGAGCCATTGGCGGGGGAGTCGAACTCGGTTCGCTTGGATTTACTCCGCTGCACAACAACATAACATCAAGAGAGCAATGCCGGTGTGTGGGACCACTTGTACAATTAATGCCCGACGTCTTACTGCTCGGGTCAGATCGCTGGGCGATAACGTACGCGTGCAATCACGTTCGGACGCGTGCGCGCGATACGCGGACGATGCGAGGGAATTTCCATGCCTGAATCGCTTAAGGGGAGGTTGTTGTGATGGGTGGTGCACGTGTGCGGGATGGAAGAGGGCCAGGTTACCGACGCGGTTATTGAAGGGGCACCCCAAGAGGTCAGCGAGCAGAAGGGCAAGGACCCTAAATCCACGTCGTGGACGACTTTAGGAGCGGATATTTTTTATTTATCGCGAGCTCTAGCAGAGGGAATGAAGCGATGGCGAGATATCGTGGTGGGGGGGGGGGGGGGAAGGGTGTTCATCAGCGGAATTGAAGGCGACAATCGTTTGATGTTGCAATTGACGGTGTTTCATCTCTGCAGCGAGTGGCTAGAAGAGAGCATTCCACGTGGCTTTATTGAAACCAGGCGGCAGGTCGCTTGCCCGGCACCACGTGTGCGCGTGTCTTCCCGATACGCGAGCACTCGTGCTGCTGCTACTGCTCGTAATCTTATTAAATGGGGGGAAAAAGTCAACAAATTCTTCAATAACACCGTAAACCTTAATCGCAAGGAAAATTTTTTATTTTAAAAGTATATTAATCGGCAACGTTTCGGACGATGGCCCTTCTTCGTAGCACATCAATGTTGTTAAGTTGAAGTTACCACGTGCTTTGAAGAAGGCCACTCGACCTCTCTTGCCTCTCTATGTCCCGTGAAGAAGGGTCGCTGCTCGAAACGTCACTTAAGATATATTCTTTAAATTTAAGGCTGTTCTTTTGACGAATGTGTTTATTCTAAATTTGAAGCTTTCGTGACTGCAAGGATTCATATTCTTAGGTTTTTTCGGAATGTGTTGAGATTTTTTTTATTTTGCAATACTTGATGTGGTGTACCAGGCACAGAAATATTTTCCGGGGCAACGACCCGGACGGGCCCGGTTCAAATTAAGCTCTGGCTATGGCGATGTACATCAGATAGGTGACGACACTCATTGCTGTGACGCCTGTGTGTGTGTGTGTGTTTCTCTCTCTGGGTGTCGACTCAGTCTTAAACGAGTACCTGGTGCGGTGTGTAAACATCGCAACTGAGAAGACAAAGGCGGCCGGGCGTGGTTGCTGGTCACACACCACATCCTCGTGCGCCGTGTCGGCCTTCATTGGTGCTACTCGTTAACAGCACTTGCTCCAACAGTCTGTCAAATGCTACGCGGGGGATCTTTGTCTTTCTGTTTGTCGATGTGTGTACAACATCAGTGAGGTTGTGTGTGTGTGTGCGCCAGTGTTGCACGGGTGTGTGTGCGCGTGTGTACACGCGGGTGTTGGTGTGACTTGCTGGCTGGGTGTGCGTGCACATTTTGCCACAGTATGAAGCAGAGGTTGGAACATCTGCAAAACATTTTCGTTTGTGACCCCGCAATAACTTGTACCTGCCCCGTGACCCCTTGCCAGCGAGCATTCCGCGCTTCACGTGGCCTCAAAGTGCACATAGCTTGGCACAAGCGCCGTAAGGCGATGTCACCGCCAACTTAGTGGCGAATGGTCGACTGTTGTTGTCTGGAAGTGTGTGTGTCTTTGCGTATGTGGGGAGCGGTGGCGTCGTGGTTAGTACATTGCGCTACGATCCGAGTTCCAGTCCCGCTTACGGTCAACACCGTTGTGACGGTTATCTAAACCGGTCCTGGGCCTTCCCTAGGTCGACTCAGCCGCAAATGAGTACCTGGTGCGGGGTGCGTAAACATCATCACTGAGGAGACGAAGGCGGCTGGGCGTGTTTGCTGGCCACACCACCCCCTCGTGTGCTGTTTCGGGCTTTTGTAGATGCTTGCTCACAGCACTCGCCCCACCAGTCTGCGCTACATCGGGGATCATTGTATTTGTGCGTGTGAGGCCGTGTTTGTATGTG